AGAGAGAGAGAGGAAGAAGGAGGAGGAGGAGGAAGAAGAGGAGGAGGAGGAGGAGGAGGAGGGAAGAGACCTTTCAGCCTTTGTTTCTCATGTTGTCCCCTCTCCTTCCAGCTGTTCATTTTATCATTGTAGCTTTATTCTCTTTCCTCAAGGACCTGACAGAAATAATTGTTCTTTTCTGGGCTTCTTAGGCAGCCAGCTGTATGATGAGGAGTGGGCGCGCTGCAGACATTCTCTATGGCCAGTTTGCTGATGACAGGTCAGCAATATGGCATGAATGTCCCCTCAGTGTGGTTCTGGTTGGTTTGTCCTGGGCCGCTTCTCACTTTTACTTTGGTGCTAACCCCAGCAAGTGGGGTTTACAATGAAAGGGCTATGAGTTATAGCTTTTTCTGGTTTCCTGTTTAGTTCTGGATTCTGTTGACTGGGTACAGACAGGAAGTACTAGGGTAAATAAAGTATGTGGTTTTCCTGTGACGATGGCATTAGAGCCTCCATCTTGGATCTGTGTAAGCTTCTCCCATCTATCTCCCTGACTCTCTCCTACCTCACCCTTTTCCTCATCTTCCCTCACAGCTCTGAGGAGCAGGGTGTTTGCCACTTTTCAAGGCTTCTTGATAATTAGCCTGATGGTGTGACCATTGACAAAATCTTGCCCGAGAAGGCTTGAGATTTTCTTTCCATGTCCATCCTGTCCTGCCTTCTCTAGTCTGATAGCCACATGGAGGCTCTCTCTTCAGTGTTTCTACTCTTTGAGAATAGTCTTGCCTCACTTTCTGAATTCTCTTGTCAGATTATCCTCCATAGCCCCTGCTCAGGCACACCTCTGTGTGTCTTCATCATGAGACTTCACGCCTTCTGTGATGACTGATACCCTTGTGAGCACCATGTGTGTGGCTTCTGCACCAGCCTGTTCTTATTTTCTTTCAAATTTTTATTTATTTATTTGATACAGGGTCTCGCTATGCAGTTAAGATTTGTAGTGGTCTTCCTGTCTCAGCCTCCCCAGGCTGGGATTACAGATGTGCACCACCATGCTCAGTTTTGGGGCTGGCAGGGTGCACCCAGGGTTCCAGGACTGGCATAACATGTGGTACCGGGGATCAAACTCAGGACCTTGTGCTTGCCAGGCAGGTGCTTAGATTACCAAGCTATCTCCCCAGCCCCCCAGCCTGCTTCTTGATGGTGACCAGCACAGGATGCTGCGTGAACAGGAAGGTGGGTGGACAGGATGCTGGAGGGACAGGAAGGTGGGTGGATAGCATGCTGGGTGGATGGGAAGCTAGCTGAAACCAGTCTGTGCCGACCTTTAGTTACAGCTCTCCTATCCTTTTATTTCTCCCCTGTTTGTTTGCTGAGCACTCCTGATTGGGGATGGCTCAACAAATATATTCCTCAGGACTGTCTTATCTCCTTGTGGCTCAGGTAACCCCATCAGCTGACTTCAGAAAGGAGTTGGACTGTGGGCATGGGTAGGTGGCACCTGCTGCTGGTGCCATCCACTGGTTCAGTAAGCAGCACCGGGATGTGATGAGAGAGCCAGGTTGTCCTAGGCTCTCATGGTGGGGTGGGTAGTGGTGGGAGGGGATAAAAGAGGCGTGACATGCAGAGCACCCTAGGTGAAGGACTGACTAGGGACACAGGACGCTGCATGTTGGATTCCTCCATATGCGGCGAAGGCTTTAGTCGGCATGTGATCTGCTTTGGTTGGCTGTCTATTAAATACCTGGTGCTAGCCATGAATTGTTTTGGATCCTTCCTTCATCCCTCTATCCCTATGTCCCTTCCTTCTCTGGGATTTGAACCCAGGACCTTTACACTGAGCTGCATCCTCTTGCCTTTTTCTTTAGTGTTTTATTTTGAGAGAGAGACTCACTAAGTTACTGAGTTGCCCAGGTGTGGCTCAAATTCATGAACCTTCTGCCCCAGGCTTCTAGAGTGCTGGGCCAGACTGGCTTTGCTCACTTTTTCATGCAATTCTTTTGGGTCTCCACATACCTGTATTGCTATTTGTATCTTATATATGAGTAAATAGAGACTCAGGAAGATTAATAGCTTGTCCAAGGATGCAGAGCATTGAGGAGCATGTTTTCTGCTTTAAAGCCCGTGTGTAATATTTTCACTTCTCAGCTGAGATAGGGCCATTCTGCAATGACTGAGGGGCTTGGTTGAATTATAATGTTAATATTCAGTTAAGTAAAGCAGCCATGAGAAATGTAGCACATTAAATAAGAAACAAATTGGAACACTAAAGAAAATCAAGGAAACCATGAATCAGTTTTGTTTTATTTTTAAATCAACAAATCAACAACTATTTTAGCTACACTGGTCAAGGAAGAAAAGCAGAGATTCAGCTGACTGACCCAGGAGTGAGAGAGTGAATAGTTACTCACTGTACAGAAATAAAAGCATGGCAAGGAAATGCAGGGCTACCTTGGTTCACAAACTCCATTCTGTCTGTGACTCTTGTGGCGAAATGAACTAGACAAGAACAATATTTTCCCATAAGGTCAACATTGAACTGATTCAGTTCTTGTCCAACTCAGAATCACGAAAAGAATCAAGTCTGAACTGATGTTCCACTGTATTATAAACAATTATATGGCAGCAAATCAGGTAACCTAGATGAAATAGAGAAATTGCTAGACAAATAACCTACAAAAATTAAGATGAAATACAGAATCTGAATGACCTATAGCAACTAACAAGAGTTAATGGTCAAAAAACTTATCCTATAAAGAAAACTTCAGCATGAGATGGCTTCACTAGTGAATTCTGAAAATACTTTATGCCTCATTTTGTGAAGCCGATATTACCTTGATATCAAAATCAGATAAAGATATATCAAGAAAAACAGCCTAACTGTCAGTATTCTTATGAAAACAAAGAAAGGGGATCCTCCACAAAACCTACCACACAGAGAAGGATAGCGCAACATAATCAAGTGGTATTTACTCCAAGAGAGGAGTCCTGGTTCAACACTGAAAACCAACCAGAACAATACAGCAGATTAGTACAATACAGGAAGAATAACCACAGCCCATCTAATGGATGGAAAAAAAAAAAAAGCATTTGACAAAACCTAACACCCTTTCATGATTAAAAAAAAAAAAAATCAACAAATTAGGACTAGAAGAGAGCTTCCTTAATTTAATAAAGGGTATCTTTGAGAAACTTGCCACTCATAACATATGTAAGGGCAAGAGACAGAGAGCTTTCACCTTGGGTCAGGAATCAGCCAGGCTGCCTTCTTGCTGGTTCTGTTCAGTGTGGAACTGGGGGTTCTGGCTGGGGGAGTTAGGCAAGGAAGTGAAATGAAAGCCAGCCAGATTGGGAGGAAGAAGGAAAACTGTCCCTATTTGCAGGTGACATTTAGAAAATCTAAAGTATCCAAAAACATTTTTGTAGAATTGCAGGATATGAGGTCAGTGTATAAATGCCAAGCAATGAACCATGTGAGAATGGGATTCAGTAAACAACACCATTGATAATAGCATCAACAACAGTAGAATAGAAATGTCCTTTGACTTACAATGAGGTTACACCCAGAAAGTCAGTTGAAAATTGAAAATATGATCCTAAGTCTAGCATGGATTTAATAGCCATCTCACCAACACCGCTGCCTGCAGCAGCCTGCTGTGGAGAATCTGTGCCAGCCTCCTGCTCACATGCTGGCTGTCACTGTAGCAGGTGATGCAGCCGGGCATGGCGAGATGGCATCTGGCTCCATCCAGACTGTGAGTTCCAGGAAAGATCAGGAGTCTAAATTTGAAGTATAGTTTCCCTGGCCATGGCATACCCGTGATCTCAGCACTCGGGGTGGGGTGAGGTGGGAGGATTGGCTGGGCTACATAGCAAGACTCTGTCTCGACAAACAAAATAATAATTATTGTAAAATTATAAAATAACCACTTGGTTAGTTGATTATTTAAAAAATTAGAAATATGGTTCTACTGAATATGTGTCTCTTTTTAAAAAAAATGTATTTGGCACAAGGCCTCACTACACAGTTTGGACTCATAGTGATCCTCCTGTTTTCAGCCGGGTCCCCAGTGCTGGGATTACAGGTGTGCGCCACCACACCTGGTCTCGGTGGCTGGCTGAATGCACTCAGAGGTGGGGCCAGCGCAGCATGTGGTGTCAGGGATTGAACTCAGGTTCCTGCACTTGCCTAAGCAGGCTCTTATCTGCTGAGCTATTTTGCCTGTCCTAATATGTGTTTCTTCTACCAAACTGGAAAATCCCAAGTCAGATCACTGAAAGACCTTCTTTACTTAATGTAGTTCACCAAAGAGACACAAGACTGTCACACTAAAAACTACCAAAAATGTTGGAGGAAATAAAGACATGAAAGGACATCCTATATTCATGAATTGGAAGACTTAACTGTCAAGCTCAATGTTCTTCAAATTGAGCTACGGATTCAACTGTAATCTCTCAAAAATTCCTACCGACTTCCTTTGAGAAATGGACAAGTAGATCCTAGATTTCATGTGGAAATGTAAGACTTGTCAGAGCCAATCTTGCAAAAGAAGAATAAAGTGGGAGAACTCCTATCCCAGCGTTAAAATTATTACAAAGTACGTTGTCCAACACAGTGGGATCCTCACCTACGGCCAGACCTAGACTGAGTCAGTAAAGTGGAGTGTAGAAATAAACACACATGGCTGTAATCAGTCCTTCTTAAGTAAAAGTAAGTAGCTTTCTTCTAATTGAATACACACACACATGCATTTTAATGGTGTAGAACATGACACACACATAGACATTGTGGAAATGGCCTAATCAGGCAATTTAAGGTGTGTATTACTCACATACCTAGTCCTTTTTTTGTGGTGAGAACATTAGAACTACTTTATTAGCAGCTTCCAAGCATGCAGCATCTTGTTCTTAGCCTCGGACCACATTGTGTAGCAGAACTCTGTCACTTCCTCTTCCTGTGTAACTGCAGATGCATTGTCCTGTCACCAGTGCCCCACCCAGCGCTGGTGACCATGCTACGCTCTGTATGCCCTGCACCTAAGTGAGATCATGTAGTCTCTTTCTTTTTGTGCTCGCTTGTTTCATTTAACATAATGTCCTCTGGATTAACCCGTATTCTCACAAATGAGTGGTTTTCCTTTGCTTTGAAGACCAGACGTATTCCTTGATGTATACATGCTGCCCCTCTGGTGACAGATGCTTGCGTGATTCCCTGTCCTGCCTATTGTGACCTGTGCTGTGAGGTCTTGGACTGCAGGTGTGGCCTCCACATACTGACTTCTTTTCCTTTGGCCACAGACTCAGCATAGGAACTGCAGGAGCTTATGGTATTTTTGGTTTTCTGAGGAACCTCCATACTGTTGTCTATAACACCTATGTGATTTACATTCCTATGTTAACAAAATTGGGAAAGAAATGGTATTTTCAAAAAATGGTGTTAGAATAGCCTGATATTAATAATGCTAACTGTCCAGCACCGGGCCCCCATGGGCGGATGCTGCTCCCCAGGGCGTGGACAGCCCTGCTCTTGCAGGCCCACCGTTAGATGTCTCACAGGCTGGCTCTCCTCGCACCCTGTCAGGGCTGCTTGCATGGGCTCTGTCCTGCAGTATACTGCCTGGCCTCCCAGCCTTGTCTGTAGAATCTCAGCAGAAGCCTTCATGACCCCTTCGACCCTCACACTCTGCACACCTGCAACAGCTGTGTCCATAGACGGTGAATGCCTGCTGCTGGCCTGAGCGGTGCCTGGGCTGCTTGAGCCACAGCTGTAGTGATCTCTATGGGCCTTGCTGGCCTGGGCAATTTGGGGTAAGGAGGGATCCTGGGATTCTCTTCCTAAAAGAGAACTGTGGAAAATCATTGGACTGAAATTGTGTCATTGTTCTGGTGTCCTGCATCTCTGAACCTGTGGTCTTTGCCAATTCCTGAGATGCCATTCAGGCTTCTTTCCTGCTGTCTCTGTGCAGAGCGCCTGAATTGTCAACCGTGCCCTCTGCGGCTTCTTTCCTGGCCCAGCTTTCTAACTTTCTCTGCTCCTTGTTGCTGCTTTTCTTTCAATCTGGCTAAAAGTAGGCAGCCAAGCCCAACCTGCAGCCTGAGGGCTCGCTGCTTTGAAATTTCCCTGTCTGATGAGGTTGTCCATTGCCTGTAAGCTCAGCCTCCCTCAGTCTCGGGACATGGGCCAAATGTATTCCTCTTTCACCATGACCTTAATCTAGTTCCCAGCGGCACTCCCATTTGTGTTAGAAACACCTCAGCACAGCACATAACCCTATAAATTGTCCTATTTCCTTTGTACCTTTTTTTTTTTTTTCCTTTTTGAGATAGAGTCTAGCTATGTTCCTCAGACTGGCTTCCAACTCAAAGTGATCCTCCTGCCTCAGCCTCCCAAGTGCTGGAATTATAGGTGTATGCTACCACAGCTAGCTGTCATTCACTGCTATAATAAATTTAGCACCAAGACTCTCAAACATACGTGCTGTTACAACAGTTGCTGTCACTCGCTGGAGCTAGCTCTATACCTAGTGTAATAATGACATTCCTATTGCTAATTGAATCCTCTAGTTCATCTAATTTCCTCTAAAAATGAAACCCCTCATACCTATAATTCCATCTGATCGACATGGCCTCATCACACAATAATGGCTCTGTGTGTGTGTGTGTGTGTGTGTGTGTGTGTGTGTATCTCCCCCAATCAGGTGGTACAGGCCCAGTGTATCAAGATAGAAACTGAGTTCTACCGTCGCAGCCGGAGCGAGATAGTGGCTGGTGAGGGCCACACCATGGGGGCACTCTATTGGCAGCTGAATGACATCTGGCCGGCTCCTTCTTGGTCCTCTCTAGGTAAGAGTTTCACTGTCTTCTATGTCAAGGAGAGAAGCAAGACCCAAGGGAGAGGGACTAAGGATGCACAGAGCTTGAAGGGCCAGATGAATGGAGGCAGGACGGGAGCCTAAGAGGCTGCAGGAACCGGGTGTGTGACCCACAGCCCTGGCTCACGTCAGCAATGTCTCCTCAGCCTTAGCAGTAATGTATGTTAGTCATCACTGGGACCTAATACCTGACACCCAGAACTTAAAGGAACAGTGGTTTAGTGACTCCTAGTTTCAGGTGACTCAGTCTGTGGTCAGCTGGCTCCAAGCTGTAACAGTCATGGTAGAAGAACCTGGCTGAGGAAATGCTCACCTCATGGCAGCAGGCGAGCAGAGCAGGGGAGCAGTGCCAGAGAGGAAGGAGACAAGGACCAAACACAGACCCCATGTCACACCTGTGACCTACCCAGACCCACCCAGAAGTGTGCCCCTCCAGTCTCCAGGGGCTCCCAATCCAATCACTAGACTCTCCACCCTGACCCTCAGCACTCTGTGCAGTCACAGCAGGTCAGCAAAGGACAGTTCATGCCCAGAGGTCCCAGCCACATATCTTACAATTATTGCATAGAATGTGGATTTTTAAAAGAGCATTCTCAGGGCCACAGGGGTATGAATGTGAACATCCGTTCAGTATAGGAGAGCTCTGCCTAGGGGAAGATTGGCCCACTTAGGCGCTGCAGTGCTCCTTCCTCCGATGCAGTTGTTCTGTAAGGTCATCTAGCATACTTCAAGGACAGGAGGGTAATAGAGTCAGAGATCCAGCCTGCCTGCGGTTCACTAGCAGCAGGTGAGAGATTGGCGTGGAGCTTGTAGTTTGAGGGATCCATCTACTTGGGTGTAGTCAGCAAAAAGGAAGGAGTAAGAATTAGTCTTTGACCTTCCCTGGAGGTGATTTGAGGCAGAGTTCAGATAGTAATGAAAATAATAGCTTTGGATCAAACAAGTCGGAGGGCCAGCGTGATGGGACAGGGTGCCCAGGATGCCCAGAGCTCTGCTGTGTTGAGCCCCGGGCCCCTCACCCTGTACACTCCCCCCAAGCCATGGGGACAGGGTCTGTGCCAGCTGACCCTGGGCTCCCCGGCCTCCTTGCTGTCTGCAGAGTACGGTGGCAAGTGGAAGATGCTGCACTACTTCGCCCGCCGTTTCTTCGACCCACTGTTGCCTGTGGGCTTTGAGGACAAGGATGTGTTTTACATTCATGGAGTGTCTGACCTGCATGAGGACCAGAATGTGACACTCACTGTGAGTCTCCAAGGGCCCTTGCTCATGGACGCAGAGGGCTGCAGATTAGCTTTTTAATGCTCTGGTTATATGACTTTGAGGTCAAACAGGAAAGGAATTGATTTGCATCAAAATATCTTTAGTGCCCTTAGTAGAAAATGTGCTGTCTGTGGGGTCAGAGTATGGTTTGGACAGCAGGCTGGTGCTTGGCAGGCCAGGGTTCTGTCTCTGAGGGGACACAGCAGCCTGTCTCCCTGGAGGTGTCTGGATAGTGCCTTACCTGAATTATATGGCAAAGTGCATGAAAGTGTAAGCTTATTTATAAGCTTGAGAGGCAGGCAACAGTCCAAAATTTTTTTTTTTTTTTTTTTTTTTTTTGCGGAACCGGGGATTGAACTCAGGCCCTTGCGCTTGCCAGGGAAGCGCTTATTCTACTAAGCCATCTCCTTGGCCCCAACAGTCCAAATTTTACAAAAAGAACTGGGTAAGCTTGGTATGTTAAAGTTGAAATCAGACTACCTAGAATGGCTAGGTAGAAAAATAAGCTTCCATTTATAACTAGCATAAGGAAAGAGAGAAGGGCAGCAAGCCTCTATGTTGGATGGTGCTGGCCATTCTGGAAGTAGCTGTGTGTAGGCTACTTCATGGCCTCCTGTGGCTGGTTTTCTAATTCTCTCCACAACCTGAGAAGCCCATGCAGCCATTGGCCTCCTTTTCCACGTGAAGAAACAGAGGCTTGGTGACTTGGGAACTCAGTCACATGGCCAGCAGTCAGTAGCCCAGGATTAAAACCCAGCCTTGCTGTCCCCCGACAGGCGTGCTGTTCCCACTGCAGTAGCCATTGCCATGCTCAGTGTTCCTTCTTCCTGCTTCCTTCCACAGTTGATGGTGCACTCCTGGCACTCTCTGCAACCCCAGTGTGCCCATTCCACAGAGCCCTTGGTGATGAAGGCAGGGGCCGCCACCCATCTGTACAGTGAGCCCGTGGCCCGCCTGCTGCGCAGGTGTGGGAACTGCACCCGGCAAGCCTGTGTGGCTTCCTTCCACCTCTCAGCCGGCGGTGAGCTCGTGAGTCCAGTCAACTATCATTTCTTGTCCTCCCTGAAGGATGCTGAGGGGCTGCTCAAGGCACATATCACGGTAAGCCAGGTTGCCCCAGGCTGCGTCCTAGCTGCATGTTTCCTCGGCTGTGGGTGACCTGTGGCCTGCGGGAGACACCCCTTCAGCTGGAGGCAAAGACCAGAGGTTTTCACCTGCAGGAAGGATTTTTCCAAGGACTCAGTGTCCACCCTAGCCTCCCACTGACTGCTCCCTCTGTGGGTCCCACACTGTGACCCCAGTGCTTTGCTGTGTCCCCTCTGACCTTCAGAATAGCCTCATGTGCTAGCTAGCCTCTGTGCTGCGCCAGAGAACAAATTCACCAGAGACCAGGTGGCAGTGTAGGGTCCTGCATCTCGGCTTGGACTCTGTGAGTCTGCCCTGTTAATCACTACACACCCTGATCTATGGCTTAATTACCAAATGTCTGTAATTGCCAAGAAAAAAAAATAGGCTTTTTAGGCTGTGCTGTTACAAAACTTGTGCCAGTGGAGAGTATGGGCTCTGACTGGTTAAAGACTTCCCCTTCCCTCCACATAGTATCTGACAGTATTTTTCTAGAAAGTTTAATTTTCATTTTAAAAAAATTTCAAATTTGTTTTACTTATTCTTTTTTTAACAGGGAGCCTGCCCATTAGCTCAAGTGTTTAAGTGCCTGCTGAAATGAAGCAGTCAGGCTCAGGATGCTGTGGTTTGATCCCTTCATCCTCAAGTCAAACCGGACCTGCCCTGAAGGCATCCTGAGTGCCCCCCCAAAAAAAACTCCTTATTTTTTTTACAATTTTTTTTTTTTTTATACTTTCACTTCATTAAGAAAGCCTTTTTAAAACTGACCTTAGAAAGCCTGACAAGATAGCTCAGTGGACTGAGTGCCTGCTTAGGCAAGTGCAGGGACTGGGGTTCAATCCCCAGTACCATATGCTATGCCAGCTCCACCCCCAGAACTTGCTGAGCTCTAATCCCACCTGTAATCCCAGCTGCTGGGGAGGCTAAAAACAGGAGGATCACTATGAGTCTGAACTGTGTAGTAAGACCCTGTACCAAAAAACCAATAAAAACAACCACCCCTCAAAAAAAACCCTATTAAAATTGACTTTAGAAATAATCTTGGGGCTGGTGAGATGGCTCAGTGATCTAAAGCGCCTACTTAGAACAAGCTTAGCAAAGCACAGGGACCGCGGTTCAATCCCCCAGTACCACATGCCAGCCAGCCCCGCCCCCTGGTGGGCTGAGCTGGCCACACACACACACACACACACACACACACACACACACACTATAAATAAATAAAATTAAAAAAAAAACAAATAATCTTATAAAAACTCAGCATCTTTACTTTTTTAAAAAAAAGTATATAAAGGGTGCCTGTCCATATCTCAGTTCTTTAAGTGGGTGCTTCCACAAAGCTGTCACCCTCAGGTTGCTGTAGTTCGATCCCCACAATACTCCAGCCAGCCAACCCACCCCTGAGGGCATTCGGAGCAAAACAAAACAAAACAAAACAAAACAAAACAAACCCTTATTTAAAAAAAAAAGTGTATAAAGGTTGAAAACATGGCTTCTCAAATTAATAGTAAAATATTCACATAACAATGCCTGAATGCTCAGTAACAACTGAGGTAGAACAGAGAGGAAGGAAGTGACCATGCACACACAGCTTTTTTTTTTCCCCAGAAAGAAAGAAAACTAAAACAAAATCAAGACTGGATAGGACAAAGCTTTGGTTTCTAAATGGATGGTTGGAAAATGTTTTTTATTCTTTAGCCAGGGCTTCTTGCCTCTTGTCCTTGTGCTATGTGAGATTTGTTCATCCTAGAGGAACCCTGACATTCGCTGTCCTTCCTCAGGGCTTGGTGTAGGCTGAACACTTACTGTCTGTCTGAGAGGCCAGGGGTCCAACAGCTGGAGGGACATAGGCTCTGGGCCAGCTGGGACAGCCAGGTATCCTTGTCCCTGTAGCCACTGTCTCTTCATGACAGCAGAGAAAAGTACCTTGGTGTTCAGCATCTCCTTCAGGCCGAGTCTGCCCCTCCTGCTGTCCCAAGTATGCTTTGTCACTGTCTTTTCTGCTGCTGTCAGTGTAGCTTTTCTTTTTATAACAGGATCTGGAATGATAATCATACAAGTGCCTTAGGGACGAGTTATCTATAGTAAAAAAATGCCCTTTGAAGTACTTCATGCCACACATAATCTGATGAAAGACCCTGTAGCCCAGCATGGATGAGGTCCAAGAATAATCATCATAGTAAAAGACATACTGGCATGAATCCCCCTTGCTTGAAACACACTTGTGCCAGTGTTCTTGCCGCTTTCTGAAGCAGCTCTGGAGGGCCTGTTTTGTGAGTGACTTTAGTTGTGCTGTTGGGCCACCTTAGTGTCCTGAATTGTTTCCCTTTTGTGATCATTCTGACCTTGGTGAAGCCCTAGAGTCGCATGGTGTCAGGCCTGGTGAATGAGGTGGACGAGGACACAGCGTTGTGTTTTTATGACCTCACCCTTCCATTGGGTGGTACTCAGCAGCAGCATTCACTGTATTTTTAAAAAATCTTCTTAAAAAATGTATTTTGTACAAGGTCTCACTATGCAGCTCAGATTCATAGTGATCCTTCTGTCTCAGCCTCCGCAGCGCTGGGATTACGGGTCTGTGTGACCACACCAGGTTTCAGTGCCCAGCACGGCGCAGGGACCTGCGTAGCATGTAGTGCCAGGAATCAAACCTGAGTTCTTGCTCTTGCCAGGCAGGTGCTTAGACTGCTGAGCTATCTCCCCAGCCTCATTCATTGTATTTTTGATCACAGGTGCTCATAAATACACTCAGGAAGGAGGATTCTCTTAAGTTCTTCAGAAGGTGGCAAGGATGATGTGATCATTGTGTTTGGATTGAGGGGAAAGTTTTGGGGGTCATTCATGGCCCTGTGTCCTTTACTGTAATAAACATTTTAAATGTAAGCATTCGTTGACCCCTTCGCCTACCCCATGTCTTCATGTGGAGGGGCTGTGAGGTGACACTGTCCTCACAGCGGCACCTTCAGGGTGTAGCTCAGTGCCCCTGCTTGCTAAGTGCTGAGTAAGTGGAATAAGCCACCTGGCTCCCCACAGCCACCCTGGCTCTCCTCATGCTCCTTCCATGAGATTGTGTAGAATTCACAGGCATTACAAACACTTACAAGGTCACCATCCTTTGCAGTCTGCACATGCCTGCAGGCCAGTGTTCGGGTTGCTTGAGCTTCAGAGTCTCGAGGCTCAGGTGGTGGCCTTGCCTGCAGCCAGGTCCAGATGTGTCCTTAGCCCATGTAAACCACTGCCCTTATGTGGGATGGTCCTTTCCTGCTCTGAGAAAAACAGTCAGAAATAGAAAACTTTAAGGTCCTTATGAAATGCTCTCCTTAGTATTTAGGACTTCACATTTCCTTGCTTTGAAATTACAGTTTGATCATTTTCCATGAGCTGAAGTTAATTTTCCAAGCACTGCTGGGTTTCTGACTGGTGCATGGGACATGTGACTTCAGCACAGGGGTGGAGGGGCTGCAACAGGCTCCTCCCTGGGTGCAGCCACATCCCCAGGCTGGTGTTAGACCCCCGGCTGTTCCTCACCCGTCCCATATTCATCTTGCTTTCCAGGCCACCATCTCCCAGCGAGGTGATGCATTTGCCATCGACCTGGAGACATCGGCTGTGGCGCCCTTCGTGTGGCTGGACGTGGGAAGTGTCCCCGGGAGGTTCAGTGACAATGGTTTCCTTATGACTGAGAAGACACGGACTGTTCTTTTTCACCCATGGGCACCCACCAGCAAGAGTGACCTGGAGCAGTCTCTTCATGTGACTTCCCTGACAGACATTTACTGAGGGGTCTGGGCTGTGTGTTCACAGGCGACGTTCTCAGGGAGGCTACGCGTAGGTGTTCCTGAACCTGGCTGGGTTTGTGTCCCGAGTGAACTCCAGGTACTGTTACTGGGGCCCTTCTAGGAGTCACAGGAAGGGAACAGTGGCAGTGTCTGTGGAACCACATATGGAAGGCTGTGAGATCCTCGACTGGTCATCGAGAAGTATTGTTCTTAATTTTTATTAGCACATGTTTGCCGCATGTAATTAATGGTCATGCTCACTGGGGGAGCTGTACAGAACACATCCTGTTCCGAGCCACTTGCTTACCTCTGCTTCTGTCGTGCTGGGTAATCTCACTGAGATGCCTGGTTACTGGGGTGGAGGGGTGGGGCTAAGTCTTCAGAATGAGAGATTTCTAGGTGACAGCCACATTGTTCATTGTTCCCAGATTGTTTGGAGGTTGATTGTCGTTTGGTTATTGTTTGAGGATAAGACTCTTTCATTCTGAGTTATTAAATAAAATACGGCTTTAGTAACAATAATTTATTTGTCAAAAGGCCCTTAGCGTAATCCTTTGGAAAATAATCTGGTATCCCTGTGGGCACTGGAAATTTTGTATGTCCTGGCATTGGCATGCATGTGGGCTTCAGATTTCTAGTTCAAAAGCATGGGTTAATGTAGGCTTGTAGCCCTGGTGTGAAAGTGATGTTACCTTTGTCAAGAGTTTAAGTCATTTCTTTATATTGATTAACTATAAGTTGCTTAGAAATTGCGTATAGCTTATTATCATATTTAAAACATTTCATTGCTAAGAGAGATAGCAGGATAAAATATTAACACATAGCAAATGGAAGTAAAGCTATGTGCAATTTTTGAATGAGTTTTGCAGTTTTTCTATAAGTTTGAAATACATAGAAATAAGAGCTGTGTAAATTGCACTGACAATTTGATCTTCGCCTGTGACCTGTGGCATTACACCGTGACCATTGTCCTGGGTGTGCATGTCCTCTTGGCAAGGGGGCAACTGCAGGATCTGAGCCGGGTCTGAGACAGCAGCTGCCTCCTCGGAGGGTAAAGGCATTGGTCTTAGATGAGAAGCATTAGGTTCTGTGTGTACAGGAAGAGTGAGTGCTGCCACCCGACCTCCCCTCAGGACCCAGGTCCCTCACTGTGCCTCTGAGGCCAGGTCTTGTGGGGAGAGGGCTGTCTGCTGCTGTCTCTTTGTGCTGCCAGAGACGTGAGCACTGATGTGCACTGGCTGGAGCTTACTGGAAATTCTGCAGCTTCACTCAAGTTACCTAACTTCAGTGTTTAATTTTTTTGTGTGTGGTAAAGTGGGAATAATAAGCCAGAGGTTTCTGGGTGTGGGGGTACATACTTATATACCTAGCACTCAGGAGAGTGAGGCAGGAGGATCATTGTGAGTTTGAGACCAGCCTACAACATATAGTGAGACCCTGTCTAGAAACCTAACAAGAAAAGGAATGGGAATAATAACACCCATCATGTTAAGTTTGTTTTGAAGAATAAAATAATCTGGTCAATGGGTGTGGCCCGGTGGGTGGGCATATCCTTGGCTCCTGGGCCTGAGTCCTGGAAGGGCCAGCTGGCATAAGCCACACTCTGCAGCCAAGCACCTGCCAAGGCTTCCTGGTCATGAGGCCGTGTGCAGCTGCCCCACTTGCCGAGTCCCAGTGAGACACCATCATTCCTACCTGCAGAAGCCAGTGTAAGGACAGAGGGTCTGGAATGGAGTCCACACTGGCTTGTGCTGGGGCTGCTTCTTACCAGTCACCGCCACCCAGGTCCTGCGTGGAGCAGTCCTGAAGATGGAGCAGAGGTAGGCAAATTCTTTCTTTTTTTCTTTTGAGACAGGGTTTCACTGTGTAGCCCAGGTTGGCCTCAAACTTGAGATCTCCTGCCTTATCCTCCAGAGTGCTAGGATTACAGGTGTGCACCACTATGCCTGTGCCTGGCTTTTGGTTGTCTGTACTGGGCTCACATCCACAGCCTTGTATATGATGTTCCAGCCCCAGCCCTCAGGCAGGTATCTGTAGATCTCGTCCAACCCGAGTCCCCTCCACCCTCTGTGCTTCCCCACACCCTCTTCCTGGGGACACTCAGGAAGAACTCCCTAGGGAAAGCACAGAATAGGAAGGCAGGGTGGGCAACAATTACTACTTAAGCATTTTGGCCTGTTAGTAGGGGAAATTGTCACAGCTTTGATTTTAGCCGCATTCTGGATTCCCTCTGCATTGGGCCTAGGCCCTGTGTCCTACCCCATCACTCTGTAGATCTGAGTGCATATTTTCTTTCTCTTCCAGGGACAGCATCCTTTCTTCCAAGGGCATCCTCAGAGGACAGTCTTCAAAGAGGGGGCCCTGGGCTGGAGTTTGGGGCATGTAGCCCAGCTCAGTCTCCTGTTCTTGCCACAGAGCAGGCTTAGATATATCCCTTGGAGGAGTCTTCGGGGATCAGCACTGGAGATCCCCAACTGTGTCAGGGGCCCCACCCACAAGGTGCCTCCCAGAGGGCTGTGGGACCCAGTCTGTGGGGGATACCCAGAGCACTCTGGTGCTTCCGAAGGACACCGAACCAGATTCAGAGCAGGTCTGGTTCCAGCTGGCCTGCGAAGGAGAATACTCAAAGATGCTCAAGTCTGGGAAAACTTTTTTTTGTGTGTGTGTCTTTTTGAGAACAGGGTCTTGCCGTGCAGTTCAGGCTGGCCTTGAGAACACTTTGTAGCCCAGGCTGGTCTTGAACACGCAACAATCCTCCTGCCTCAGCCTCCCAACTGCTGGTATGATAGGCATGCGCCATCACACTCAGCTTGGGGAAGCTATTTTTAAGCAGATTCCTGCGGGGCAGCCAGCAAGCTTACTCCAGGCACTCTGTGGCTCTGTAGACCTCCTGCTCCCCTACACCCTGTGGCTAGCATGGAAGCAGTGGAGGCCTGGGGAGGTGGCTCTGGAGCCAAGGAGAAGTGGCCCCTTGCTAGAGAAGGGAGCTCTGTTTCTATCTTGCATGAGTGGGCATTTGTCTTCCCTCCCAGCCAGAAGCAAGAAAGTGGCTAAGACAATGTTATATAGTTTTCAAAAATTAGAATCATAGAAGAAGATAGCAACAGACTAGAAAATAGTAAAACATCCTCAAAGTTGTATTTACGAAGAGTCCATGTTTGACTTACCCGTCTAACAGCAGTTTAGACTTAGGGCTGCGGCTCACTGTTCAGACTATGACCCGCATCCCAGCTTACCCTCCAGGAAGGTGCGCAGCACGTGGCTTTATGGTAGCTTCTCTACAGCACAGTATGGTCAAGTTTTGCTCACTGTGCTGTCCAGTACAGAACTGTAGTTTTATGTTATTTTATATGGTACAATATTGCATGTAAGAGTTATTGCAAATAAAAACGAAGTCACCAACTTGGAGTTTCCTCTGACATGTCTTAGTTTAGCTACTGTAAGGTGCACTCTGCATACGAATCCTCCCTTAACAACCAAATCACTTAATGACCTAAGTAGGAACAGTCTGCTGGTTAACTGAGCAGAGTCTCAGACACTCTGGAAACTAGAATTCAAGGTTTTTACCAGAGAAGAAAGCCTTCCATAGCAGGCTGTCCCTACTTCAGGACTATTTATTCACGATTCCTATGCCAACTGACTCATCAGCTGGGACACATTTATTGAACAATCATTTTTTTCTCATTTATTTTAAATTTTACTTTAATCATATAATTCATTCCTATGTATTCTAGAATTTACTTCTGTACTCAGTTATTTTTATGTCCCTTTGTATCCTACAACACCCCAGCCCATGAGCTCAGGAGCTGGCCAGAGTGCGTGTAAACCCAGAAACACCGTAAGCTTGGTCTACTTGAGCTCTAAGCCTCAGTTTTCTGCTCTGTGAGCTGGGGATATATTTGCATACTTCATTGGGTTAACTAAATGACTTAGCGACCTGTTGTATTGTACGGTTTTTCTTTTTAATATTTGGTACAGGATCTCACTATGCAGCTCGGACTTGTAGTGATCCTTCTGTTTTCAGCTACCCCAGTGCTGGGATTACAGGTGTGCACCACACACCCAGTCTCTCATGCTGTGCCAGCTCAGCACACCCGGGGGCCAGGCTGGCACAGCATGTGGTGCCAGGGATCGAACTCCCATGTTGTACAAAGTTGTTCAGCATAGTTCCCAGCATCTAGGAAGATTGGATCCTCTAAGATGGAGCCTGGGGGTGGGGGGAGACATTTGGAGTGGCCCACAGACCAAGAGCCATGGAGGGAGGAAAGGGAGGCATGGAAGGGGTGAACAGATGCACCACAGGGACCTTGGGCCCACACAACCTCAGTTCAACCTGGGTACGACGGGCTCTCTGCTCCAGGATGAGGCTTTTGTGGAGGCCACCACAGAGAAGGGAACGCAGTCTCTGTACAGCAGCAGTCAGCTTGTCAGAGGGGTCCTGGGCCGGGCAGGTGGGGTGAGTGGGGAGCACATGCCCAGCGCTCCGGTCCTGCAGATGTCCACTTGAGGGAAAGCGGTTGTGCACGGTGTGGCCATTCCATCTCATTCCTAAACATGGTGTTTTCTCACTTAAGTTCCAGCCCCGGGCAGAAAGCAGTGCAGCAGGGTTTCCTGCAGGAAGGCTCCTAGCCTAGGGCCCCACACCACTCACTGCTCAGTGCTTCACACACCAGAGGCACGGTGTTGTCCACAGGACAGGAGCTGGGCCGGGCCCGGATGAGCCCACGACTTCTGTCTTGGGTTAAAACACATATCCTTTGATCTTTTTTGTTCATTTTGAGATCAAAAAATGAAGTCTAAAGGAAGATGTGACTGTGCTAGCAAGGCTGTGGATGACCCACATGGCAAGACATCACCTTGGAGAAATATTTGCAGAGATCAGAGTGAGGTCAACCATTTGCTTTTCCTTTTATTATAAAAGTAAAATAAAAAATAGCATTTATAAATCCAACATTTTTCCTTTAAAGTATTTGGTCTAAAAAACATATTTACAATAGCAAAATGCAGAAAAAGGGGGGAGAATACCATGTTCAGCCCTGATTGGAACCATGTTTAAATATTGCTAAGTGCGTGCTTTGCAAATCACAGCGACGGCGCGTTAGAAAGTGCGCAGCCTTTCTTATTGCACACCAAGCGACTCTCATCCAAAAATATCTCCTTCCTTAGTATTTGGGCGCACAGACTGTGCCTGGACGGCTAGAGAGACACCAGGTGGCCATGGAAGGGGTTCAAGGAAACAGCAGAGGGGGAGGAGCAGCAGCAGCAGTGATGGAAGAGAAAGCAGTGACCCAGCGGCAGCGGTGCCACCGATGCACTCCTCGCTTTAGGAACGCCATCGGCTTAAGGGCTGTGCCTGCCAGGTACTTCCTGCCTGGATGTGACCCTGCCGGGACTCAGCCAAGGACCTGGGGTGGCCGTGCTCAGAGGCCTGCGGTAGCCGGACGGCTCCAGGCCGCCTTTCCGATTAGTGCCTCTGGATGCCCAGTCTTCCATCTCTTGGGCAAAGTACTGGACTTTCTGGCTTTGGTTACATGGCGTGGCCATCACGGCAGCTAAATCTTGCCCTCTATGGGTCCTTCCTGCCCAAAGTCAAGGGGCCCTTTGTTAAGTGTTAGCAAGGGGCCCCCACCCGTCAGGGACTCCGTGAAGCTGAGCTTGCGGAAGGAGGTCTCCACACCGCTGTCGCAGATACTGTCCTGGTCTCGAAGCTCATCTGTGGGGAGAAATCAGGGGTTCAGGAGCCTGGCTGGGACATAGACCTCTGGCATGGCTCTGGCAGGGAGGCTGGTACCCTGTGTAGAACCTGTCAACCACCCCGTCCCTCTGCCTCTCCCGACCATTTGTACGGTCCACACTGATGCAGGGCAGGAGGTGCCCAGGATGTGAAGACCCTTTCAGCCTAGTGTTTCTCTGACAATCCTGTTGTGTGTATACCAAAGATGCCTGAACTCTCCCCACTCCACACTGTGTGTCCCACGGGGGAGGTGGCTGAACCTATGCAAATTATCAGAAGCAGAAGCGATGGTGGAAACCACTCTCTGGTTTCCAATGCTATCAAATAGCACCTTGCTGACATTCCTGGTGGCAAAAAAAAAAAAAAAAAAAAAAAAGATGGCTCTGATGAAAAAGAGCCTGTACTGCACTGATGCTGCTTTCTTGCTGTTGCAAAGTATCCTTAGGGATCTACCAATGGAGATTATTTCTTGTACAGAAAGGGAAGCCAGGAAAACAGCAGTGGGGTGCAGACCCACTTAGAGTGCACCAGAGGCATATCTCTCACATCCTAGTATGGCAGATTCAGATTTTAGCAACAGTGCCATGACTATTGTCTTAGTATGGATTTGTTCAACCAGTTTTTTTCTTTTCTTTTTGAGATAGGGTCTCGCTATGCAGTTCAGGCTGGCCTTGAGCTTACTTTGTAGCCCAGGCTGAACTCGAACTCACAATGATCCTCCTGCCTCAGCCTCTCTGGGATTATAGGTGTGCAAAACCATGCTCTGCTTGTTCAACTGATTTTAATGCAGTTTCTTATTTGTGCTGTGATCTGGGAGGTACTTTAAAGATAACTACACATTAGAGATTTAATGTTTAAGCATTTGCTTTTGAGAACTGTCGGCATTTACTTTTTTGAGTGTTTGCACTAGAAGAGCACCAGGCCACAGACCAAGCCCTGGGTCAATTCCTGGTGGCACAGTCCCCCCTTTTGCAGGGGCATAGTGACACTGTGCTCCTCCCCTAGAGGCCTCCCTGACAAGGTGACCTTGACACTGGAAGGGAGCCAGGGAGCCAGGCAGGTGAGATTTCCAGGACTGGGCAACACTAGTAGCCCGGGGAGCACATCAGTGTAACATTTAAAGGGTGGCTGTGCAGGGATGCTGGGTTTGCTATGTGTTGGACAAGGAGTGTGGCATGGATGGACTGGCAGCGATGTGACAGGCCATATTAGCTCACTAACTTGGAAAAAAAAGTCACACCACTGGGTCTCTTAATCCCAGCACTCTGGAAGGCTGGGGCAAGGGGATCTTGAATTTAAGCCTTGCCTGGGCAATTTAGGGAGAGCCTGTTTCAAGACAATCTAGTGCAAGGGCCCCAGGCTTAACTGTAGCACCACACACAAACGTGCACACGCATGTGCTGTCATACCACTGGTGCAGAGTGGACTGAAGGAAGAGACTGAGTAGGCATCCAGACAAAGCAGAAGGGTGGTCCAGGTGGGGCTGTGGGAAGGGGAAACTGGAGGAGGACGAGGTATTACACTGGGTGGGTGAGGAGATACCAGGAGAATGCACAGGAAGTGCTGTGTGGACTAAAGATCCCTGCAAAGGCTCCTGTGCTACCCAGAAGGGCTGTAGAAGGTGACAACTGTGGGACATTGACCTCATCCGTGGGTGAATCCAGGACAAATTCATAGCTGAAGGGGCAACTAGGAAGGGTCCTGGGGCAGGACCTCGCAGGGTGGGTTCCCATTCTTACATCACCCCACCCCTCCAACCCCAGTGAACAGTTTTGCTTCACCAGGCTCTTCCGCCATGATGCTTCTGGCTCTGAGCTGGCTGAGCATGGATGAGCCCTTTGAAACCTTGAACCAACATAAATCTCGCCTCCTTTCCGTAGGTTTTCTCACTTCATCTGGGTGCAAGGGGTGATTCTCAAAGTCTGTCCTAATCCTGAGGACAGCTGTGCTTCTCTGAGATGTGGCCAGAATCAAGTTTGTTGGGGGCTGACAGCTCACTGTGAATTGAATTGGGCTCAGACTTGACTGGGGAGGCTGAAGATCTAAGAGGCAACTGTGTGGGGTGTGTAGTGTGAAAAGCCATGTGTGGGGACAGTATGGAGTGGGGGCCAGTGTGATCCCTGTGTGGGGAAAAGGATCCTGGAGTATGTGATAGAGGCAGAGATGGGGACCTGACCAAGGCGCTCAGGAAGGGCCAGAAGTGAAGAGGTTCTAGAACACTCTCCTGAGAAGTGCAGAAGCCAGAGAGTGCTCCTCTGAGAAGTGAGGAGGCCCTAAGACCGTCTATTGAGAAGTGAGAAGGCCCTAGAGCACCCCCCTGAGAAGTGAGGAGGCCCTGGAGCTCTCTCCTGACAAGTAAGGAGGCCCTGGAACATTCTCCTTAGAAGTGAGGAGGCCCTAGAGCTCTCCCTTGAGAAGTGAGGCGGCCCTGGAACACTCTCCTGAGAAGCTCTACTGTGTAGATGAATAGAGATAGCTCACTGTAGCTGAAGTGGTGTGGGATCAAGGCAATGAATTATTTTTCCATTTTCATTTTTGTTTTTTTAAAAAAAAAGCTGGGCGTGGGTGTCAGGTGTGCTGTTAGAGCTGAGGGGCAGGGAAGTGTCTGGAACCAGCCATGTACGGATGTGTGCTGATGCAGCGACTGGCAGTGGGCAGGCCAGTGTCCTCAGCACGAAGATGCCCAGGAGGATGGGTCTCTGGGAAAGCTGGGGTGCTGCTCTGGTCTGGCCTGGTGCCCACACCTCCACTGTGCCCTCTCTCTCTATAGAGTTCCTTTCCTTTGGTGACAGTGGGTTTACCTTACCCTGCTGTATGCTGGGTGCAGTACTGATGGGAAATCAGGTAGCTCATGAGTCCACGTCACTGTCTCTTCTGTGAATGCAATGTCAGGAGGGGCAGAAGGTGACAGTGGGGATGGCCTTGGCCTCTATATCCTAAGACCCAAAACCCCACACCAGCTAAGAGTTGGAACATCCTGCTGTACTGTACTCCCTTACCAATCTGAGGTGACAGCAACAGGGGTGGTGATGGGGCTTGCATGGTGCCCTTCACGGGGCTGGAGGTCCCTGAGCCACAGCAGGCTGCGTGGATCACTTCAATGGCTTCCGTGTAGCCCATCTGTCCTAAGGCCTCAGTCAGCTCCTTGATGGTCCCCCCTGAGACCTGGAGGGAGAGGAAGAACATCTAGTGCTCAGATTGGGAACACTGTGGCCTGGCCCTGTTCTGTCCCTCTTTGTGCCATTTTTTCCACCTTGGCAGCCAGGTGGGACTGCAAAGGGCACAGAGGGTGACAGGGACATCTATCTGCCTTTTGGTCCAGCTTCATGTCTCAGCTTCCCAGAGCACAGGAAATCACAGAGAAGCAGTTTGTTGTAAGGAGAGAGAAGAGTGGTGAGAGGAGAAGGGATGGAGAAAGAAAGAGGAGAGGTGGAAATAGAAACAGGAGAGGAGACAAATCAGAGAGATGGACAGAGAGAGATGGGGGAGAGGGAGACAGAGAGAGCAAGTGAGCTGGAGAGAGAGGGGGAGAGAAAGGCGGGGAGGAGAGAGAGATGGAGAGAGAGGGAAAGAGAAGACACCCACAGCAAGGTTCCCACCACATATATGTGCAAGCTAAAGCTCTGGAATCCACTCAGACAACAGCAAACAATGGCATTTCTAAAAGAAAAGGCCTTCTTGTTTTCCACCTCTGTTTTCAGAAGTAGAAGCCAGTAGCTGTTGGCCCTCCTAGGGGTCATCTCCAGGATGAGTCCTCATCCCAGTCTATGCCCAGGGCCTTCCTGGGGACAGAAGCCATGTGCTGTTATAATCTACCATGGGAGTTCCGCCTGGTGACACTCCTGGCTTCTCATAGGTGGCATGCTCATGAGAATTTGGAACCAGCTGTCTTAACACCCAGAAATGATTGGAAAACAGGAGTCCCCTTGCTGTCCTCCCTGGCCCTGGCAGTGAGTGGTTTTCTTTCCAGCATCAGGGATGGGACGGTGTCCTGGCTGGGATGTGAGCAAGAGGAGTCAAGCTATGTGCTTCTGTGGCAGGGAACGTGTTACCTCGTAGTTGTCCATGAGTGTCTTGGCTGGTGCGGGGCTCAGCCGGAAGGCATGGTTCAGGATGCCCAGACCCAGCTTCTGTGCCAGCATTGCCCAATTTCTGTCTGGGTCAGGGATTTCCAGCAGCTTGTAGAGCTGCAGCTTGGCTTCCTCGCTCAGCTGCTTCATGTCCCCTGCAGGGACAAGGAGGAGGCACACTAGTCCCGACCCATGCTGGTCCTGACTTCCCCGAGGAGACAGCCAGGTCGCATCTTAGGGACTCAGAGCAGTTGATTCCTCCTTCCTCCAGGGCCACGCCCAGCCTACACCACACACCTTGGGCCAGGGCATCATCAGCTGTGACCTCAGGCTCGTACGGCTTCCCGTTCAGGATGTCGAACACCTGTTGGGTGGAGAAACATTCCTTAGACATCAGGCAAAGAGCTGCCCAGCTCTGGGTCTTCTGGGTGTCTGAGGTCCCTGTGGCTTGGGCACAGAGGGGGCAGATGGGTTGAGGAAGAGCCCTGTTGTCTGGGCCACCAGCAGGTTCCAGATGTGGCACTGAGCTCCCTGAGAGCACTGAGCCTGTCCTGCAGGAGACCCGTGTGTGGCCACCTCCCCCTTAGAGATTCAGTGATGGCCTCTCCATTCAGGCCTCAGTTCAGCATTGCTGAAGGAAGGCTTTTAGTCTCTTTTCCCCATTACTTACAGAAACCCAGAGGTTTCTGCCTGTTCCTGGGTCCCATGTTCTTGGTTTACAGCTGCACCTGCTCGCCTGGGAATGGGATGTGTGGGGAGGAGCCTCTGGGAGCTCCACGCTCTGTGCTGGCCTTGCTGGTTGCCACTATGCTTGGAGCCTGCTGATGCCCAGTCTTAGCCTGCCCAGCACTCACCTGCCAGCTGGCCGCCATGTCTAGTGGTGTCGTCCCCGGCACCATGCCTTCATCCTCACTGGCTCTTTCCCAGGACTCATCCCAGTCGTACAGAGGCTCGAAGTTCTCCACCAGGGGGTCTGCCCCTGTGAAAGCAGGGACAGCATCAGGAGCCCAATTCCTCACTCCAACTGGTGCCAGTAGTCAGATGCCCCAAGGTGAATCACACTGGCCACTGGAGGTGACTAGTCAGGTCATTTCTAGTGTCTATGGTGTTTCCACTGAATACACACAGGGTTCTTTCTAAATTTGGATTTACTTGACTTAGAGGTGCCTCAAGATGCTGTGCAGCAGTCCAGGACACTCTGAAAATAGGCTTTAAATACTCTGACCTAAACTCTGCAGTGCGTGCTCTGCCTGAGGACCAGGAAGGGGACAGCAATTCTGAGACACGGGGAGTAGGAGGGCTCAGACTCAGGGTCCTCATGGAACTGTGCCCTGTATGGCCACATTTCCCTCTCTTCCCCACTTTGTGTTCAGTGACAGCAATGTCAGCTTTCCCTTGGGGACAGGCTTGCCAGGCCCTGCTCTTGCACGGACACCAGAGCAGCCCTGACGGTGGTAGAACGTGTGGTCACTGGGACATGGAGGATGAATCTTGGGAGATGTGGTCTGTTCTTCAGCTTCCAGCAAGAAACCAGCACACCTGACTTGAATATCAGAGTGCCCCGAGACTGCTCCTGGGGCAGCACTGGGTTGTGGCTGGGTGACTGGGGTGTACCAACACACACTTTTGGGTCAAGAGGCCACACTGCCCCTGTTCCCCGTGTGATCTCCATGATGCTGAGCTCAGGGCCAGAATTTGTATGTGTCCTTGTTTATGTCATGGACTGCTGCTTGTTGCCCTTTTAAGATTCTTAGAATTCGAGGGAGACACTTTGGTTCTTGCATTTTTTTCTTTTTCAATGGAAGAAAGGGGGGACCTGCCCAGCAGCTCAGTTGTTTAAGTGCCTGCTTAAACAAAGCCCTGAAGCTCAAGCTTCTGGGGTTCCAAACCAGAGAGTCACTGCAAACGAATTTCGAGCTTCCAAAAAAAAAAAAAAAACCTTCAATGGAAGAAAGGTAAAGCAAAATTTCACAATGAAATAATAGAATAATAGTTAATGCACTGCATATTGTTGGCTTCAAAATAGTTAGAGTACAAGATAAGGCATGAAAAATTATGCAAGTAGTAGTAGCGTAAACCTTTCATTTCAATGAACCAAGAGAAACTAATGGTATAGCAGGCTTGTATTTTTTTTTTTTTTCCAATCTATGGGTTGTGTTTTAACTCTGTTGGTGATTTCTTTTGTTGTGCAAAAAAACTTTTTAATAAAATAAGATGATACCTCATTTGATGATTCTCTGAAGTATTTCCCATGTAGTCTGGATTTTATTCATGAAGTCTTTGTTTCTACCTATGTTTTCAAGATTTCTACTTACTTTCTCTTCCAGTAGTATGTTTACTGTTTCTCTTTTAATAGTTAGATCTTTGATCCATTTTGACTTTAGTCTTTGGCATGTAGAAAGCCAGCTTTTCCAGTACCATTTATTAAAGAGGCTATCTTTCTTCTAGTGAACATGCTTGGCTTGGCCCTTGTCAAAGATAGGGTGGCCAAGTGTGTTTGTAGTTGTGTCTGCATCTGCCAATATGTCCCATTGATCCTCAGGTCTGGTTTTTTGTTTTTTTTTTTGGCAGTGCCAAGCTGATTTTATCACAGTACCTTCATAGGATAATTTAAAATCAGGGACTGTAATGCCTCCTGCCTTGCCTTTGTTGCCCAGAATTGTTTTTGCTATTCTAGGTCCCTTCTGGTTCCAGATGAATATTAGGATTTTTTTTTTCCCCTCTAGGTCTGTGAGGTATGCTAATGGTATTTTAATTGGGATTATATTAAATCTGTATAACAATTTTGAGAGTATGGCCATTTTCACAATCTTGGTACTTCCTATCCATGAGCAAGGGATATCTGCATTTTCTGACATCCTCTTTTTCAGACTACTATAATTTTCAAATCCTTTACTTCCTTTGTTAGATTTTTTTAAATGTATTTGGTACAGGGTCTCACTACACAGCTCAGACTCACAGTGATCTAGTCTCCTCGGCACTGGGATTATAGGCATGCACCACCATACTGGGTCTTGGTACCTGGCTCAGTGTGCCTGGGGGTGGGCTGGCATGGCATGTGGTACTGGGGTTCGAACCCTGGTCCCTGTCCTTGCCTAAGCAGGTGTGTAGTCTGCTGAGCTATATCTCACAGGCCCCCTTTGTTAGACTGACTCCTAATTCTTTCTTTTTTTGGGGGATGCTATTGTGAAAGGTGTGGTTTCCTTAATTTCTCTCCCAATGAGTTCGTTGTTTATGTACAGGAATGTTATTGTTTCTTGAGTCTTGACTTTGAAACCAGCTACTGTACTGAACGTGGTTATTAAATCTAGAAGTCTTTTGGTGGAGTTAATGTGGTTATTAAATGTAGAAGTATTTTGGTGGAGTTTTGGGGGTCTTCAATGTAGAGTACCATGTCACCTACAAATAATAATTTTACTTCTTCCTTTCTTGTCTTTATTCATTTTATTTCTCTCTCTTGTTTAATTACTCTGGCTAATGTTTCCAGAATTATATTGAATAGGAGGTGATAGTGGACATCTGTGTCTTGTTCCTGATTTTAAGGTGAAAGCTTTTAGTTTATGTCCATTTAATATGATATTCTGTTTTTGATTATCATTGGTGGCTTTTATCAGGTTAAGTTTAAAGATCACCTACTCCAATTTTCTGTAGATTTTTATCATAAAAATAAAAAGCTTTGGACTTTGTCAAAAGTTTTCTTCTGCATCAATTGAGATGAACATGTGATTTTTGTTTTTTACTTTGTTGATACAGCATACAACATTTATTGATTTGCATATTTTGAAATATTCCTGCATTCGTGAAATGAATCCCACTTGGTCATGGTGCATAATCTGGATGATTTGCTGCACTGTTTGCTAGCATCTTATCAAGGATTTTTGCATCTATGTTCATTAGGAAGATTGGCCTGTAGTTCTCTTTTTTGGATGTGTCTTTCTCTGGTTTTGGTATCAGGGCACTTCTTTTTTTTTTCGCGGAACCAGGGATTGAACTCAGGCCCCTGCACTTGCCAGGCAAGTGCTTATTCCACTGAGTCATCTTCCCCACCTGGTATCAGGGGAATAGGGAGTACTGTTTCCTTTTCATTCTCTTGTTAGACTTTGAGAAGTACTGATATTATATCTTCTCTAAATTTCTTGTACAATTCAGCTGTGAATCCATCAGGACGGGTCTTTTCTTTGTTGGTTAAGTTTTTAATTACATTTAAATTTCATTGACTGATATTAATTTAAATGTTTTAAATATATATTTAGTAAGGGGTCTACAGGGTCTCACTACACAGATTGGACTTGTAGTGATCCTTCTCTTTTCAGCCTCCCACATGCTGGGATTACAGGCACGTGCCAACACACCCAGTCTCAGTTGCTGTCTCAGCGTGACC